TTCGACCAGATATGAATGATCGCCTAAGCCGTAGGGATACACGATGCGAACTGGTTTTCGGTTTACTTATTCCAATTCTTTTTCTTTAACTAGCCAAGAAATCTGCGTTCTCACGAATCCGCGCACACTTGTCTTCCTTTTCGCTCCTATCCGTTCGCTTTTCTAGGTTCTTTGTCCCATGATTTGTTTGGGCGTTTTTTACGCAGCCGTTCAGTTGGTCAGTGGTCACACAAAATCCAGCACACCGTTGATTTACACGGGCACCCCGGACGCGATCCGCGCTCAGACTGCCCTAAGTGCAGTTCTGTCCAATTTTGTGGCCGCGCATTTTTTCGCTTGGCTTCGTGACGAAGGTAGTTGGTTGGAGATTGGAAATAGTATTAGTCACTATGTGATCGCGATGGCCTTCGGGTTGGCTGCGTTTCTGTTCGCTCGGTTCGGCCGAAAGATGCTCACCTGTCACCCCCACTACATTTCCGCTTATACTGACCCAGTTTGGCGCAAGGATCTTTGATGACTGTCGAACTCGCGTTGATTGTAACAGAAATGCGTGTTACGTCTGTGATATTCCTCGTTTTTACTCGCATAACCAACAGATACTGTTTCACACTGTTTACAAATACGTGCTTTTTTCGTAGCTATTTTTTTTGTGACAGTTGTCACTTGTTTGTGCAACGTCTGTCTATACTTCTCCCGGGCGTTACAGTATTCTGTTTCACTGGAAGACCTTTTCTAAATTGTTAGTGTAATTTTTATCTGGTAGATCTGTCCGGTAATGTTCCTCAGGAAATACAGATTTTTGTGGAAGTGTTTTGTGTGTCATATCAATGGTGTCCATTCGATTTACCGTTTGGTCACTCATCTCATGCTGTTGATGATGATCAGGTGTTTCTGGGAGATCGTGGATAATTCTCCTTTTTGAGATATAGCTCTCTGATCTGAAGATTGGGTGATCGCATCCTTGCAGAAGCATGTGATCTCAATTTTGCAGTAAATATCCACTGTGACGTGTAGGTGAAGTTTCCTATGTGAACGGTCAATCGCTTTGCGTATTGGTATGTGGTTCACCAAAACCCTAAACTCGTAGGGCAGTTGGGTATTACTTATATATCCAGAATGCTGCATACCGTTCCATTCGAGAGGTACGTAACTTGTAATGGCCTCAGCCAATAAGGCCCCTGGGATTCCGTTGGTGAATGTGCTCCGGGGATGGACGTGCACCACTTCGATTTAAACTTCCTGTAGGATGATTTGTAGATCTTCACAATCTTTCGTCTAACTCATCGTGCTGCCGCCCGTTCTTCGTCTTCCAATACTTCTAGTTAACAGTTTTTTTATGTCAGGCAATGTTAGCATGCAGAATCAGGTTGCTTAAAAATACGTGCAACATGACTCTTACTTTGGGAATACATCTGTTTCCAGGGTCCTACTTGTATCCATATCCATAGCTATAAGTGAACAGCATTTATTCCGAGCTTTATCCCCCATTGGGACCCTCTTAGTTCTCTTGTATTGTAGCATGCAGGACTTGGCCCACCACTGTCAGCATGTGGGTAACACAGTCCGGGTTTCCGGTATGAATAGTGTCCTCAGGATCCCACAAAGAAAACCCTCTTTGGGATGTTGATCCAACTCTTAAACGTGACCCAGCACAGACACCCTCAGTGCACATTTAGGAGGCACAGTGTACAACAGGCTCTCCTTTGGACTGGTAAAAGACGAAATTTTCATGAAAAAATTGGTTCAGTGAGACATTCACAAAGTGACTTACGTTGTGGGGTACTTGAAGCATAGTCTTTAGACAGAGCTTCATAACCTTGTAACCTATTATCCCGCTGTGTGGCTGGGGTTCACGTGCCAAATCCGTTCACGTTTGTGTTTGCGTGATCTGACCATTCAAAAGTTTTTGAGGACTGTGTAAAATATCTATATGGATTTCCAGGCTGATGTACCGAATTATGAATGAGGCACGTTGCACTGTAGTATCTCACTTTGGTTTAATTGTTGTTAGTTCAATCGAAGAACGGGCACTTAAAGTATTACAATAGACTCAAACATTTTTATATTTTAAAATGCGTACTTTTTGTCTTGACTCCTTGAATCCATGTCGGATGGTCATAACATACATCGCCTCTTGCATGAAATTCAAGGTGAGGCTCGTGTTGGGCATATGCAAGATAGGGGATAGGGGATCGTTGCCGGGGAAATGTATAGGTGGGCTTGTTGTGCATCTACAGAAACGGTACCCTACAGTGATATTCTTATTGCCCTGATATTTGTGTGCTCAGCGACCGCACAGCTAGGAGGAGTGGAAGTTGTGGAATCTTTCGGAAGTTGTATTTAACTGCTCTTACAAGATGTTACCGAATATTTTGGTTTTGTTATATTAGAACAATAAGATGGAGTTCGGTATAAAAAGTGAATTCCTTTTCTATACAAACGTTTAAAAATGGCTTTGATCCTTATTTACATCATGATTAACAATTTCATCTGTGTTAAAACATTTGATTACTGTATTTTTACGTTTTTATTCATCTCAATATTTTTAAGGGCGTGTAGTAAGTTTAAACTTTGCGCTACTGATGAGTAGTGAGTTTATAAATACAAAAATTGAAAGATAAATTTCAACCCGCGATTCGTAAATGTTTGTTGATTTATTTTTGGTCATGACTCATCAGCGCTCCCAGTGAGCCCTTATAACCTGGAGTTATAGACAAGTATCTGCACACACTTTAACGCCCTTATGTCCTGCAGTGGAAAAGATAATACATATACGAATGATAATGAAATAAACGATACATGGAACAGATTCACCGAAGGATTGTCCGGTTTGTTGATTGGTCCTGTTCTTCAAATGCGTGGTTCCGGTTGATAGTGCGCAGTATTGCTGAAAGGGATGGCTGCGGTAGTTAACGGATTGCTTGACGATAACCGATAATATACGCGTAATGCTGCAGCTACACTCATGAAACACGTGCACAGTTACGAACAGAATTTTGTATTGTGATGTCACTTATTGTGCAAAATAAAACAAACTCTACAATGTTGTCATATAAAAGTAAGACACTACAGTACCCTCTTCTTGAGTGAAGGTTCAAACGGAATACTCGATAGAGCATGAGTTAAAGAAAACGAGCAGGGGAATGCAGTTTCTTACAATGACCTGTTGTACGTTGAACGGTTAATGGTGCAAGTAAGCGCGTAGAACATGGGATAGTCGGAGAAGTGTGCTTTGTGTCTGTTGAGTGACTTATTGTGGGTGGTGTATCAGGGATCACTGGTGAACGAACAACATGTGCAGGTTCTGTAACGGGTTAATCGAAAGATGAATTGAAATATCCGGTTCTCAAACGATCGTTGCTGACTGAGTCGTGCGTTCCCTTGCGATCCAAACAAAGATTTATCGGACCGACAGATGATTCTGTATGGTGCGGTGCATGGCACATGCAGTGGTCAACGTGTAGCGTATTGGTCAAATGATTCGTCACGGAGTTGTTTTCTGACAGAGAAGCTCTCCTCGAGATTTGATGGTGAAGGTTCCACGAGACCAAAAACTGGCGGGAGTCGTTATGTCCAGAAGGGGAAGGACACACCACCCGCAGTGTTCAGGAAGGACATGCTGCAGGTTTCTTTGGGCACGAAAGCCTACAATTGGAAGTCGTCCGCCGGGGAGAATCGTTTGGGAGAATAAAATTTCCGGTTGTTGCGAGTTCGTGTTTAAATCCTTTTTCCATTTTTTGAACGATTGCGGGTAGATCATAGTTTTCCATTGTTAGTATCCCATCGCTGCCACCAGTTGTAATAGAACTGCTTCTGATGTATTAATCTAACTCCGAATCTGACAATAAGGAACGACAATCCAAGGTTAGCTGAAATCAATCGCACCGCAGTTAGTTCCAGCAAGCGATCGCACAACCACGATCGATAACTGCCACAGTTCACAAGAACGAAGGCCTGAAAACTAAGCCTTATTAGCGCATCTCAGAGAGCGGCGTCCCAATCGAGCGAAACACAAAGGCAGTACACGAACACGTGGGGTAGAGCAGGAAACAATGTACAGAAACCAAGGGGGAAAGAGTTCGTTTAAACGCTGCTCTCAAGTCTTGGGTCAAAATACAAACGGGTCCTAAACGGTGTCTCCTGGTCTTGATTCTTCTGGTCTCGTTCATCGATTATGTGCGAGACCTGGAATGGTAGAAAAACGGAATGTTAGAAAACGCCAGTTCAAACCTACTTGGCGGTTTCTTTTCTATTACAGTTCCGTAAATCAAGTCTGCCGCCGTACATCCGAGGTGTTCTCTGATAATAGAGCGAATGCTCAGGAGGACTGAGTGGAAGTCGTTCAGTCCAGCGAGGATCTTTGTGGGCGCCTACTGAGACCCTCAATCTGTGATGGAAACGTTCAACTAAGCCGTTTGCTGCGAAGTGGAAAGCAGTGATGCAAATGTGTTCGCATAATAGTTGTGCGATCGTAGCGCGCAACGTTTCGATTTCCTTATCCCTATCGCTAGGAGTAGAGGGAGGTGGAACCGCTGGCGTAACGGTGTGCAGCTGCTGCTTCTCCAGTACAGCATCAACCGCTAACTGGTCTAAATCTAGGTTGGGAGTGGAGACGATTATGTCCTGTACGGCGTTCGGTACCCGCTGCAACCACAACTCGCGAAGAAGGGATTCGATCATGAGAGATGGCCCGGCTATTTGACGTATTTCCCGTAGAAGCATTGAAGGCTTCTTGCTGCCGAGCTTCAGCGTATGACAAAGCTGGATTAGCCTTCTTCGCTCGCAAAACCAGCCTCCGCTAGGATCCGCTCTTTCAAGAGCCGATACCTATTTTCGCTAGGGTCCATCAGGATAATGTCCTCCGAGGCCCCAACTTGCGCGGGGCTCAACCTCGTGATGAGTTGTCCGTACATTTGGTCATCGGACACTATCCCTTAATTGCGCAGCGCTTCCTCGAAAACTGTGAACCATACCGACGGCTTAGTTACGGCTAGGTCGGGAGTAGGCAAAAGCATTGCCCCGGCGACAGGTTTATACTCGTCAAACATTAGGAAACGTTGCGCATATAGCAAAAACAACAATAAATTACAATTTTTAGTATGCTAGAATAACGACCACAAAAACGACAAACCGTAAAACGTTATAATAAAAGAAAAATATTGCGGTCCGTGGAAAACGTACGGGCTTTTATCGACTCAATGGTTGCTGATATTCGTCAGAACCTGTCACTAATGTTTACTCACGTCCGTTTTGAATATTCGTCCCTAATGGAAACAGAACCAGAGATTGCGTTTATTGAAAACAATATATCCCGAGATCTTCAGAAAGGTTGGAAGTAGAGTTGGCTAGGCCTAGGCTGATATTTAAGCAACGGCAGCGGAAACCTAAAAGTAGATCTGATCAATGCAACGAAAGCGTGCGATACAGAGCTCACCATGGGGAATTGTATCGGTGCACGCTTTTCGAGTTCATTAAAAGAACGCTGATAGGTGAAGCAAAATTTAATCCTGGAAA